CTCTCTCTCTCTCTCTCTCTCTCTCTCTCTCTCTCTCTCTCTCTCTCTCTCTCTCTCTCTCTCTCTCTCTCTCTCTCTCTCTCTCTTTTCCTTCTCCCTCTCGTCTTGTCGGTTCTTCTTTCTTTCTCCCTCTCGTCCTGTCGTCTGTCCTGTTCTTGTCCTGAATGTACGCGTGTTAAACTAACGGTTTGCTGGTCGTGATTCCAAATAGCTCTTGTGAGAACTTTGGAGTGATTGTCGTCATATCGACAACTTCCTGTCACGGAGTAACCGTCGTAGAGGTAGAACTACGTTCGTGTGGCTTCGCGAGATTGTTCTAACGAGTAGGCAGTATGGCGTCTAACCAAGCTCCCCGTACATGTTATAACTGCGGACAAATTGGGCACCTATCGCATTTTTGTCCTCTTCCTGACCGTCGCCTAGCTGTTCAAGCCCCTAGTACTAGCACCGCTATTGTACCTGTGCAGAATGTATCGGTTCCGACGATTACAGCGGCTGGCGGCGACCCCGGTAGTTACGGCAACTTTGGATACGGCTACGGTGGAGGTTTGAAGCCTCGTGTGGAGACTTTGGAGGTTACCGTTGCCTCGATCAAAGCCTTTCAAGATGCTGAAAAGGCGCGCGAGCTCGGCAAGAAGGAGGAGGAAGCACGTATCAAGAAAGAACAAGAAGAAGAGAAACGAAGACAGCGAGAGAAGGCTGAACGAGAGGAATTTCAGGCGCAAATAAACAAGCAATCAGCGACTAACTTGGACTCCGTGCGCAAGTTACTGGAAGGAAAAAAAGGTGGAGCGGATCAGGAGGTGGCGAAGTTGCATGCAGAAATTGAGATGTTACAAAAAGCTCTGAAGATTTCCAGTGGAGCAACCAATTCGGAAAGTGAGTTTGATAAGTTTAGGCGTGAACAAGAAGAAGAGAGAATCCGGTCTGAAAGGAGGTTTGCATTGATGGAGGAGGAGGTCTTGAGGCTAAAGAAATTAAATGAGGAGACTACATTCGCGGCGGATGTATGGAAGGCAAAGGCACTTCGGCCCGGGAACAAGAGGGGGAGTGTGGCTGTTACCTCTACCCCTGTGCCGGGTACAAGAACTCGACCTCGAGTTACTCCTATGCAATCACCCTCGTTGGACAAGCAGAGGTTGAAGGAACTTGTTGAACAACAAGATCACGAGATCGAATTGCTTAAGGAGTGGCGGCTTTGCGAGCTCAATGGACGTCGTATGACCGAACAGGAGGTGGATCGATTGAAAGACAAGATGTCGAAACTTGAAGTGGCGAAGTCTACACCCACTGCCTCCAATCTTAAGTCTCGATTGGACAAGGTTGCTGCGGGCACTATGGAGAAAGGCAAGCAGCCAATGACACCTGCCGCACAGGCTTTTGCTGCTAATGATCGAGATGCTTTCCTGCACGAGACTCGTAAGGTACTTTGGCCAATGAAGAAGGAAAATATAGTGGCGCTGTGTGCAAAAGAGGGTGTGACGTACACCACCTTGGATAAAATGAAAGAGGAGATTGCTAATAAACGCACCGATGCTGCCTTTTGCAAACCACCGACAGTCGTTAAGAAACCGCCTGACGGGATTGTGATTCAAGAGGTGTCAGACAACGATGGGCAAAACACCAGCAACAGTGTCGAGGATCATGATGAATCCGATACTTCATAGCCTCTTCCCCGAACGCGGTGTTGTTATGGAATCTCTTGCGTTGCTGTATTAAGTTACATTCGATATTGCCTGACTATTTACGATGTAAGTCGTTGAGCACACTGTCTTGTTTGTTGGTATTGCTGTTATCTGTTCTCGGTCAAATTCTGTGGGGGTTGAAGCTAAGTAAGTGGCTTTCTGCTTGGGGTGGTTCGAGATGACGTTGACTTTGGCTCTTTGCAAACTCCGTTGGTCTACGCTCTTGTTTCGCCATGGTGTCGGCATCTTTATGTAGGGAGCACAGGTCGTGATTTGCACACACGAGGAGCATGTGTACAGGTCGTGTAATTTGGATTTGATTTCAAAAGGTGTTCGTAATGAAAGGTTATACCGGTGGATGCGGAGACGCGGACCTCACAATTACGTTGTCATTCCGTTATGTAGATGTTCGGAAGTTGACCTTCCCTCCTGTGAGAATTTTTTCATTCGTCTGCTTTCTCCCTCGTTGAATATGAGAGATAAAGCGAAATGGTCTAAACGTTGTCGTCCCGGTTTAAGAAAACGTTTGAGGAAGTCAAAATCCAGGATCACTCGTCGTGTGTCTGGCTCGAGTCCCCAACTTTCAAATTCGCTCTTGAAGTTCTATTCTAGCTTTGGTGAAGAAACGTGTAGTTTATTATCTATTTTAGACCATTGCCGAGGCAACTGTGTGCATCGCTGCGTGGTTAGGTGTCAAAGTGGTTCGATACTCTCTGATAAATGGAAGATTCTTAAACGGAAGTATGGCGGCTCCTGTGTATCTTGTGAGTTTGGTTGGGTTTGTTTCGTCACTCCCGGGGGTGGTTAAAATCTGGCGTTACACTTATCTTTGACTCTGTGGTTCCATTTCTCAACAAATCGCTTGCCTTGAAGCCTTCTTTAATTCGTCTTCTGAGTACTCCTTCTTTACGACTATCGCTACGTACCTGGTCATTTGAGTCCTTGGTACTTGCCTTCACTGCTATACGAACGTTTGGTGAAAAAAGGACACGAGGCCGATTGCAGTGTATGCTATCAAAGACCATTTCATATCGTTTTGATGTGCAGGTGAGACGGCGTCTGGTTGTGCGTTTGATCTATAACGATTTCGCTAGCAAATCGCAAGTGAGTCGACTGTGTGCTCATTTGGTCAATATGTTGGCTATTCCACTGGTATGGAAGGAGATGATCGTCAGACGTATGAGGGTAGTGTGGTGCCGAAATCGGACGGTGAGTGATTACTTGCACAACTTCCGAAGATATGCAAAAGACGAGTCGGTTATGTGTACGTGCACCGGGTCATCTCTTGATTTTGCGCGAAGGTAGGGCCATGTGGCCTTTCGAATTTCGGAATCTGAGTTTTTTCCTATCTGGATGAGGAATAGTAAGAACATATTGAAACCCTCTCGTAACCACTCTACGACCTCTCTGAAGAAAAAGATTTTGGACGCGTTTCACTCCTTCTCTTCCCTTCCACTGCTTAGTTCTCATTCTCATGTGTTCGCTGACCTTTCCAGATTCAATCAATCTGGAGATTCTTCGGCGCTGGTTGCGAAATGCGTTGTCGATGAACTTGATGATATTCGGAAATCCCTGCAGGGATTGGTATGTTGTCCTCTTGATCACAACTTGGGTGACACTCTGGAGCAGTTGGAGGTTTCATATTGTAAGAATGGGTTGGTGTCCGCAGGAAAATGGAGAGCCGATGGCGAATTTGGGAAAGCATACTGCATTCCTAAACATAAGGACACTGAAAGGTGGCGCCCCATATGTCTGTCCTTCTTCGAGTGCTCAGCCAGCGGAGGAAAAACCGTGTATAAGGCTGTTAATTGCATGTTGTGGAGCCTTCCTTCCCACTCTAACCTCAATCTTTGCTGTGCTGAGGATCTGGTCAAAGGTGTGTTGGAGGTCAATAGAGGTGTTAAGAAGAATGAGCAGTTGCTCGGCGCGTCATATGATGTCAAAGAAATGTTCTCGAATCTACCTCACCCCTCCATTGTTAATGCACTTTCTTGGGCTATTGATTTTGGATAAACAGGGAGTTTGTGGCTGTTGTGGTAAATCGAAGAGGGAGAGGTGCAAGGTTGGTTAAGAAGCGGAGTGACGATCCTGGGGTATTTCTGAAGTTCTCAGTGATCTTTGACTTTGTTAAGTTTGAGCTTGATAACACGTTCGTGATGGCCTCTGGTCGGTTGTTGCAGCAGAAGGTGGGCATCCCCATGGGGAAATCTTCAAGCCCAGCGCTGGCGTGCCTACTGTGTGCTTATAATGAATTCATGTTTCTGTCGTCTCTGGGCTCTGATAGGAGTCTCTTCTGTGGATTCCGTTTGGTCGAGGATGCTTCTATTTTTGTGAAGTATAAGAGGAATGATTCTAAGTCTCTTTTGCATGCTCTTGAGATTCTGCAGCGTTTTCAGGCCTGTTATGACAACAACCTCGTCTTGGAACGAAACAATGTGGGTGATTGTTGGGACTACCTAGGCTGTGTGTTGAAGATTTTCAATGGCAGTACTGAGTTGGTGTGTATGCCTTGTCACAAGAATCAGCGGGGTCCGGTCAACGGGAAGTTGGTTTTTCAAAGTATCCAAGACTACTCGTCCTTCTCAAGTAGCAGCAGAAAATTGTGGTTGTGAGCTCCTTTCTTCATCGTGCCAAGCGATTCGCTACTTTACCAGGGACTTAGCTTCCCTTCCTGTTCACTTTGAAGATCGAACTTTGGAAAAGGTTGTATCCTGATGAAGTTTTTGATTACTCTCTTGTTAACTTTTCACGAAAATTTGGTGGGATATGGCAGCATTGGGTGCCGGTACTTACAGGTTGGAACATCCTCCGTCCCAAGAGTGGCGGGACTTCGGTAGTATAGCTGATCCCAATTTTGCCCTTTTCTGCGTGATGATGTGTTGTGGAGTCTTGAACTGTGGATCTTTGTGGTACCAGTGCTTTTGATTAGAGTGGTTCTCCTTTGACGTAGATAGGTACCTTGGTTCTGTAGTCGGTCCCGGGTCTGTTTTTCTCGGTTGTGGTACGATTGGTGGATTTTTTCAGGTCATTTTTTTGGTCTCGAATAGTGGATCTTTGCGGTTTCCGATCGGTGTGTTTTCACACTGTGTAGTCGGTTTTCACATTGGCCTTGAACCTGAGACGTGTGGCGTATCTCTTTGAGATATTCTGAGGTACCCTTTAGTATCTTCTGGAAACTCTATAGACTGGCCTCACGCAAGATAAATAGGAACCTATAGTATAGTTCCCTACCGACTAAGGCCCGTGATGAGCGCTGGTATTCGCGACCAGCCGAAACCGGTCGGGTCACACGCCAACTGGATTCATGTCCGGAACTTGTTCTTCATGGTTCTATCTTTCGTTAATGCCGCGTTCGGGATTTACCTGGTTTTCATCTTGCGTCTCTCTCTCTCTCTCTCTCTCTCTCTCTCTCTCTCTCTCTCTCTCTCT